TATTTCTCATTCTAACTCATACTATCGCCGCGGGCTAAATACACCAATCTATTAATTTAGACTTAAGGTCATACACACACTAGCGATTGCTATCGGAAAACCAGCAAATTACAGGTTGTCTCTTAACCAGTGGACAGTTGGCCGTGTGGTGCCGGCTTAGAATAGCATCACCCCATATCTTTCTAGTGGGTGTCGTAATAAGCGACTAAGGCATTTGAGAATTGATGTATATTGCAATATTAGGCGACAGGCTGAGACCCTGTCACTATGGTGATACGTAGTCTTCTGATTGACTTTCAAACTTTTGTCGGGCGTGGTGTAAATAGCCGTTTTTTTACAGCCGGGTACGCTCTGCCTACCCCGTGAGGAATATAGGCTTGATATATGTATTTACATATTTTACTATCAACATTATCAGCCACAATAGTCCTCGGGCGGACATGGGCTTTCCCATTTTGGGGGGCATTCGCCATACTCACCTTGCTGGCATACACGGCTTCGTCTTACAGCCGTTTTAACGTTCTGCCTACCCCGCAATGGCTATAGGCGTGCGTGATATGTGTATGTATGTTTCTCTTAGGCCTGGGAGCATCTCATGTTTTTATTGGCAGTAAAGTTAATTGTAAAACAGTAAAAGACAATTTGTTGTGTCATTCCGCAGCGACATTTGTACTGGTGACACCTGTGTTCTAATTTAAACCGGGATCGCAATTAAACTGAATGCAACAATGTTAGACTTTAATGAAGTTTTCGATGTAAATTGTATGATTATTGATCAATAATACGATCACAAAACAACATCTTTTTACATCTATAATAGCAAGCAGGTTGGAAGGACTTCTACCTTGTAATGGTCCATTTCAGGCATCAGCCAAAAGCTTGCCAGTCAAAATCAGGTTGAACCTCTCCATCAGTAATTAAAAGGCACCGTACCTTGTGACCATCGTCCTATAAACCGGAGTCGGAGAGAAAGCATGGTGGTTATTACTATTATCCTGACCGTACCTGTCAAAAGACATGTAAATTTTTTGAAAGTGATTAACTTACCTATAGATAACCTGTTATTTTGACCTAACCAAAGTTTATCTAATTATCCTATTTGATGTGCGGGGATTGACTGATATAATTTCAAAAGTGAATTTATTTTTATGATCTTATCTAATGGAGCTTGAACTTCGGATGTCTAGATTTTTCAGTTCCCTCACTAGGTACAGTTGTTTTTATGTTCGCATGTACACAATACAGTAGTTAATTAGACAACACGTGTAGAGTTTGATTTTATCCACGCTACGTGTTGCGCCTGCGCCGCCGCCTAATGTATCTAATGGCGTCAATTCTCGCGTACGTATTCCTTTTCCTGTCACTTTTAAATAAGTTTATCTAACGTAGAGGATGTTTTTTAGTAGCTGTGTACCTATTGTTGCTTGTTTTCACAAATTAAAACAGTTTTTTTTGTTCCGTTTGCGCATTTACAAAATTGACCATGAATTACAGTGGAAGCCAGTATATCATGCTCTTAATTTTGTCTAATTCGTATTTTGGTTATCAATCCTCACCTTAGCAGACAAATGGCAGCTGGAGAGAGAGCTGTTACATTTTTTTTTAAAGTGACTGGTAGGAATAATGAAGAATTAGCAAAGGAAATGTTTCGCTTAATCGTAGCCATGTATTTAACTATTATATATTCCGTGGTGTCTATGCGGAAGTTGAGTCACGCTTTTGCTTAAATATTATTTTGATTGACGACTAGCTAAGTTCTCTATGTGCGCACTTAAACGGATAATGACAAGCTTTTGCGATTCATTAATAGTAAGTACGTAAGGCACGTGTATTTAGGATGGTTAGGGTGGTTGGTGGTTAAGAATACTGTAATGTACTTAGGGAATGCAATCTCGATCTCGCGAGATCTCGAAATCACCGAGATCTCGAGCTATTTTTCGAGATCGAGATCTCGAAAAAGTAAATCTCGTTTCAGAAAAATCCTTCGAGATCTCGACAGTATCCGTCGAGATTTTGAACGAGATTTCGAGATTGAGCTTGAAGGCATTGACGTGTTTATTGATGTGCGTAGCATAGTTACCGGTGCCTGCCGATCTACCCCGAGTGCATTATTTATTCAGCAGGAGAAAACTGCTGTTGTTAGACATAATGGGGAAAACGAATGGAATGGACAGGATATAACAGGGCCTTAAATCTGCATTTTTTTGCCATTGCAAGCGACACTCAACTCTAATTCTATTGCCAATGTGATTTTCCGTACTAAAACTCATTAAACGAACATGAATATGTTAGCAAAATACGAAGCTATGCAACTGGCATGCCATCGGTGTCCAGCTGAAACGTTTTTATTTAGCAGACTTCAGGTCCAGATAAAAGTTATAATATAAGTGATGGGATATACTACTTGACTGGGGTAATGAGGCAGTAAGTCAAAGCTCGGAGAGCCGGGATCCGGGCCGGGTAGCACACCGCAACTTTCGGCCTAGAAGTTGAGATGGATCTCCCGACCTGATTAATATTACAACAGCACCATGGCATGGAAAGAAAGTTTGATTTTGATGATTTTTATATGTGATAAGCAAAATCTCGATCTCGAAATTCCGAGATCTCGACCAATATATCAACGAGATCTCGAGTTGGTCAATCTCGAACCCTAAGATCTCGACCGAGATCTCGAGTAGTCAATCTCGGCTCGAGATTGCATTCCCTAAATGTACTACTGATCACCTCCGTGTGGTAGCGGCTAAGAATACTGCCGCCCCTAGTCCACTCAGGGTGTTTCGTAAAAATCGACGTAGAGTTTTGACCTCCGCTGAACATCTGTCGACTATGATCAACCGCATGGTAGCGGTGATACCACCTACAATAGCATTCCCAAAGAGGGTTGACGTCAGGCAGGCGGCCGGTCATAAAACATAGCCAAATCCTTTTGCAACATGATTTTGTGTTCAAACAAACCGTGTTGCGCCGACCCCAAGTAATTGGGATAATGATGAGGGTGGATGGTATTTGGTTGGTAGTCATGAGTAGAGCCGGAGCCTATCTGCGTACCTTAGTTCCGTCGCGGTATTTTCGATGACCTACTTGACTATATGCAAATAAAATCAAATTATTTTCAGCGCAAATAATAAAATCGTTACTTGCAAAATAATTTATAGTATAAATCAAAATTTTTGTAAAACTATGTCATAGAGGTTGCTGAAGAAAAAATCTTAATTCTATAGTTGCAAACATTTGTTACAAAAGTTAATTTTTAAAAGTAGCGTAAAAAGTCGGTGCTTGAGTTTTATATTTCAATTTGTCGCTGTACTTTATTCAAGTGTAGCATTTATAATACTGTAACTAGTAAACGTGGGCTTATTATTTCTGTAGTCCAGTTATGATTGAAATTATTAAAACATTATATTTTAATTGCTACCAAGTTGTTCTTGTCTCATTTACAATTTACATGTTATCGGCGATGTTATCTTGAGTTCCAACCCGCCTTGCCGAAGGGCCTATGGCTCACACAGACGGGAACCATCTACATACATACATCACGCCTATATTCCTTGCGAGGTAGGCAGAGCGTAAACGGCTGTAAAAAATATACACCACGTCTGACAAAAGTTTGAGAGTCATTAAGAAGACTATATTCGCCTAAAATTGTAATAAGCATCAACTCTCAAATACCTTAGTCACTTCTTACTACACCTTTAGGAAAGATATGTGAAAATGCTATTCTAAGCCGGCACAATACGGATTCTTATAATATCTAATATATTCTTATATATAAAAAATGGTAGGTAAATATAATTAAAATAACACACTTTGATTGGCCACTTGTATTTACCTAGTAACTAAAATATACATGGAATGAAAATGTAACGAAACCTTTTCGCATAGAATAATATCGTTGCTGTCTGTACTAAATCAACAAATCAATGATTAATTATAATGCTACAATATAATTAAATCTGCAATGCTTATTTACATAATTTATTACTAATATGAATGTTAAAATTAATATTACGACGAAGCAAATAATTTGGTCCCTATTTTAAATGTTATCGTTGACTGTCTCGGGAACCCGCCTAGACCTCTTAAAACTAATTCTAGTTAAGACTAATTATTTCTGCAATTCTAATTCACAATATAATTATTGACAATTATGAATATTTTGGACCGAATTTACATGTTATCTTTGATATTATCTTAAGGGACGGTCTGCCTTCTTTGGCAGATCTAGTAAAACTAATTGTTTCTGCAATAACAACACTATATTGACAAATATAAATATTAATATCTACACCTCTAATTTGATCTCCATTTCCATGTTATCTGTGATATTATCTTATCTGCCCTGCCAAAGGGCCTGTTGAACATAGCCGGTAACCTTCAACCTTACTGCCCTAGATCCCTCAGTCGCGAAAGTATTAAGTACCCAATGCATTACCTTACAAAATTAACTGGTTAGGTCCAGGAAACATTGAACACAAAAACACGATTTTTCGAAGTCGGATGATCATACATTTTTGTATTATTGTTTCTGCAGTTCTGCTTTGCATACACTGACCAAAAAATTTAGTTTGTTATCGTAGATAAAATCTTGAGGGCCGGACTGCCTTGCCAAAGGGCCTATTCTCAACAGACTGTAACCTTCAGCCTCACTGCCATAGATCTCTCAACCGCGAAAGTGTTACCGGAACAGCGTGGGCGCATGTCCCGTCGATTTTGTAATACGAGTTATTACATCGATCGATTATGCATGAATCATTCGATAAATTGCGACTTGAACAGCGATTGAGCTGCCTTATCGCTCATTCAGAAAAGCCAGTTTGATTGTAACTGACTCTATCAAATATAGTCATGTTTTACGGTAGCTCAGACAGATGGCAGAGCAATTGAACGGTTCGAGTCCCTGTCGCAGCAAATTGTATTGTTTTCTTATTTTCAATTATGAAAAACAATCATGTGTTTATATTATTGTTAATATCAACGAAACAAGTGGAAAAAATTCACGCCACCGATGGGATTCGAACCCACGTCTTGTGACAAGCCGGGTCAGACGTGCTAGCAGCCTTTACACCACGGAGGCTGTACCCGAGGTGGCGAAATTGTGAACCACTTGCTTCGCTCATATATATTTTTTGTTACTTGACTACTTACGAGTAGCTTTAGCACCATCTATGACTACTTAGTAGAACTATATCGTCACTCAACTGACAACATTACGTATGTACAAGTTGACGAGAGATGGAGCTTTTTCCGATTTGTGAATGTTTTTACTAATTCGTAGAAATTTTCCACAAGTTAGTAATTTCGAATACTTGGTGTTTTAATCAAACACTAGATATTGATATTATTGTTAATATCAACGAAACAAGTTATCAATATCTAGTGTTTGATTAAAACACCAATTATTCGAAATTACTAACTTGTGGAAAATTTCTACGAATTAGTAAAAACAATCATGTGTTTATAGTTAGTTGATGATCTGTAGAAGCAGTTATGGAAAAGGCAAGGTCACTATTTACCAATATTCGTGCTCTGTTTCCAATCAAAGAAAAGTTGTTTACCCTACAGGAATATTTAAGTAGGGCTTGGGTATGGTGGTGGGTCAAAAAGGTAATTGCCGCACCAATAAAATATAACTGAGCACCCATCTAGCTAAATCCAAAAGTAATTACCTATTATTACATTAAAAAGCTTGCTAGTTCTGTAGTCGTAGAATCAAAGTTCAAGCTTTTTTAAGACGCCAAACCGCTTTTAAAACACACTGACTGAGCAAGGCAAGTGGCGTTGCGTACTTATTTGGGCAGTAGCTGTCATAAAAAAGATTTGTGGCTCGTCAGACCAAATCTAAATAAATAAATTCATTAAGTACGAACAGGTTAATGACTATCTTGACGCTAGTGGTAATTAACTCTATTTATGGAGCTAATATTTTATTTACATGTGCGGTGTAGTTTATAAATCGACTTTTTCGCGCTTCACTTGTTTTATTAGTACTTACCTAAGATGATTTTGATGCACTAATGTTGAATTATTTATTAGCAAAGGCCATGATACGAGTATTGTATTCTAGATAAAAATTTCTAAATGAAATTAAATAATAGGTAGTTTATTTGCAATTATAAACAATGCTAAGCGTGTTTTGCGGTTTGATAAGTTTTTTGTACAAATTAACTTGGGAAAATAACATTGATACGATAAGATGAAGAAGCGTGTTTAATATGGCACTAGAGGCCAGCCCAGCGGTTTCACCCGCTGCTTACTGTTTACCCGTGAGAATAAGGCATTTTCCGTTGGTAAAAACAGTTTTGGTTACTCAGAGATATTGGTTTATCGATTACATTACATACAAACAAAAAAAACAAACAAATCTTTCTTACAAGTAGTGTAGGTAGATATAAAGTAAATCGGTAGAGATTGAGTTGATCGACAATGACATGTTGTAAAAGATATCTGCAGATGCAGGTCAATTATTGTGTAAATTCCCTCTTAATAAGATTCTCGCTATTTCCCCTTACTAATGATAAGTTCGGAGATCACGTATCGATATAATCTTTTGTTTATCATACAAAATGCGCCCGCGGCGCTTCTTGCACTTTGTCGCCGGCAGTTGCTTCTTATAAACTCCGTGTTGATGCGAAATTAGCTCCATGAACGAGTTTGCAGCGTGTAATCATAATCAGGCGATTTGCGAAATAATTTATAATCAAAAATTACTGGTATTACTCAAATGGAACCAACGGTTCTTCGCTGACCGTCCGATTATTAAACAGAAGCTCTTGGGTTGAGGTGTTCTTAAATGTCACGCTTTTTAAGGTTCCGCGTATCGGTAGTGAAAATGAAGGGTACTGAATTTTTTTTTTATCGTGAAAAAATATGCCTCGACAAGCGTAGCGTTGGATGTTCTCCGGTGGCGTGAGATCGTGACTTGTTGCGCACCCTGGAGTAGGCCCAAGTCCAGCGGTGGACTGTTATAGGCTGATGTGGTGATGATGATGGGAAGGTGTGAAACAATCTGTATCTTAAGCAGGTCCATAAACTTAAGTCTGCACGGAAGCTGATTAAAAGCATAAGAAGCTAATTAATAGCTAACATGGTTCATTAATCCTTGTTTATTCTTTTCTTATCGTGACCGTACATAGTAGTAGGCGCCCCCGCCGGTAGCAGTTTTGTATTCCTTGGGAATTTATCAACTTCCCTCTTTTTAAGAGCCCATACCAATCTTGTCAATGCAAGTTTTGATGTTCCAGTTATTACAAGGCTGTATTTAACAGTATCTAATCACATTAACGCAGTTGCAAATAAATACTTATTACTTTCAAACTGCTTATTACGGACTCTTACTACAAGAAGAAAAAGATATCAATAACTCTACATGCCTATACAACTATGTATTTAGCAATTTGCACTTGGCGTTACTTTTAATTGTCCTTAAAGGTATAGTAGAGGGTACTTGATATCCTAGTCGGAATGCAGAAAAGCTCTAAGTGTTGGTAGTGTCGTGTCAACCTTTTGAGATTGTGGGTACTTAAGTTTTATAGTTGACAATTTTGCACAAAACCAGTTGGATTGGATATCTTCTCTTAGTGTGCCAAAGTAACGTGTTGGCGCTATACAAGGTGCTAGGGACGGTGTACCGAAAACTTTGCAGGCATGATCAGACCATCAAACTGTACAACTTTTAGTATGGAGCCAATGGTGGGAAACGAAAAAAAATTTCCGTCCTCCTATACAAAATTCACGATCAGCTGACTGACTTTGTATGGGAGGTCGGAAAATATTTCTCAAATAATTCAAACCTCCGCACTGCACTATAGCGATTGCAAGCCTATCTACTGAACCACCAACTGAACGACTTTTGTACATAAGTAACTTTTTAACTAAACGTTAAAATGGAGGCTCATACTAACTGAACAACTTTTAAAATTAAAAAGCATTTATTGGTGAATTTTAATTCGAAAAATGATTTGACGCAAAGATTTAATAATAAATAAGTCCTCATATTTCAAGTCGTCCCACCCGGGAGACACTTGTATTTTTTTTCATTTGACTTACCTACTGTTGGCCAGTGTCAAATTGGAACAGATTACAATTTGGTACGCGGGTCAATTCGTTTTTTTTTTTTTCAAATACTAGTAATCGAGTTACTTTATGTAGCTGCCAGTAGTATGAAAGTTTTTTTTAAAGGCTGTATATTCGTAATGCAGTTCATTACGTTCGTACTTTCGATTCTGTAAAACGAATATTACGAAATGAGTGTAGATAAAATGATTTATTGCTGGCAACACTGGCTAGCTCTGCTCATTATCCCGTGGCTTCTCATTCTCTTGCTTCACTCCGGTTTTTGTGACAGCTCATGCCACTTTTTCACACAGCCACTGGTTAAAATAATTAGAGGATTCATTATATAAAGGAACGGTCTTTACCTGAACATGTTTAAACGTTTACGTACTTTGTAGCCGTAATAATAGCGCCATGATAAGAACTGGTTAAATGTTAATATAGTTAGCTTTTTACCCATGGAGTTTATTAAGTAAAAGGGGAAAAAGGTTGTCGATTTTGCATCTTTATAGACGCTTTCATAGTTTTTGCGATTGCTACGCTCTAATGTGTGCATAAAGTGGGTGAATCAATATTAATGCATTACCATTGATGGTCATAATGGTATAGTTAGATGGTGATGTGTGAAAATTATGTTGTTCATGTCCAATTAGATTCTGCTTATCATACATTTGCCTTAAGATAACCTTCCGAGGATGGTAGTACAAGCATGAGTAATTGTTTAATTTGTAGCGATGGAAAGCAATATTAAAAACACCAACTAGACTATCTTGGAAATGCCATAACTTTCCGTGGCAATTAAAAGTAAATTAAACACATGAGTAAGTGTTTAATTTATAACGATGAAAAGCAATACTACAAAACCTTGGCTATCTTATAATTGCTTAAAAAATGTCGTGTTTTTGTCCGACCAGCTCCCATCGGGTTTGAAGCTTTATCGTCTAATTTAACTAGCCCAGCTTATAGCCCCCCTAACTGAATGGTCTGTGTGTGGTTGGCTTGCGATTAATTCCATAAATGAGTTCAATTTCTTATAAGCTTATAGTTATAACAATTCCCGCGCAAGGTTTAGCCAACCGCCTAAATGCGGAACGTCGAAATAATTCCTTTGGTCACGAAAGGACCACCCATCTTCTTACACGAAAGTTCATCACGAACATAGACCTGCCTTTTATAATGAAAACACAATTCAATTAAGCGAACCACAAATAATTGTGGAAAATAAATTCTTTATAACTTGTTAAATTCGGAATCATCTTGCGTTTCGTTCGTGTCGCGCCAGAATTCATTAAGCTGTAAGAACTGGTGTTCTTTTGAAATTAGCCGTCTTGTCATAAGCGCCGCCCTCATCTGCATAGCCCCGGGACATCGCATAATTTACCTGAACTACACTATCATGATATGATATGAATTAAGTAACATCTGCTGGGTGACCGGGGAAAATAAAGATAGATTCGCGCCGGACCTTCAGACTTATAGTTTCCGTTTGAAACATCTATTTATGGTCTAACGAGCTGTCCATTGAAAGGTCTCCGTCAATATCTTAGTGAGATCTTAATCAGCAAATTAGAAGTCTTGTTACCGTAGTTGGTAATTTTCTCTGCCACGTGATTCCGAACTGAAATAAGAAGTATTGCTATCTGTGAAAGTGGATTTTCGGCAAAAAAAAGTGAATTGAGAGTCTGTTTCCGTCCAAGTCCAATACTACTACAATATTCCGGTCACACACCATCGCTTCTCAGAGCTGCTACCCCCTGCGCATACGGCATGCGGCATATCCCACGAGAGCGCCGTGCGGCTGCGCGGGCGCAACAATGTTGGGAACTCCGACAGCCGGCCTCCTAGCTAATCGATACTGGAAAGTGCAGACAATGTTGGGAGCGGTGAAACTGTCGCGGTGTTTTTGCAATACTGTCATCCGCGCATTGAGGACGCCACAATAACAGATAACGGATTAGCTGCAGCCCGACCGGCGTACGCGCAGCTTCACAAACCCCAAGGTTGTACGACAGGAGGGTTGCT